GTTTGGTGCTTACCATCCCACGACCCTGGACGTGACCGAGCATATCCTTCTCCAAGCTCAGTGTCCGTGGAGCACAGCTCAGGAGTTACTCAGACAAGCTACATACTCTGCCCAAATGGGGTGAAAATGGACATGCCCTGGGCAATCTCTCCTCTTACTGTCGAGTCCTGTGCTCTCCCTCCTGTAGCTGCTGCTTCTGCACGGGTCAGAGCTCAGTCTCACTGGCAAGGAAAAGGTGCTGCCAGGCCCCCCAGAGCCGGGGATGTTATCCTTGTCACAGATGGAAAAGAGCAAGTTGAGATTGGATCACAAAGTGTTATTGTAAGTCACCAAGTTCATGTGTAAGTCATGAGAGAAGCGCAGAATCTCCATTGAATGACGACGACCAGCAAGAACCCCTCAGCACGGAGCGCATCTCATAGGAAACTGATAACCAGATCCGCTCCCACCCAAGCAATTAAAATAAAATGGCCTCCTCCCCATTTCCCGATCTCATACCTCCCCACCCTCAATCAAAATGAAGTCGACGATATACTTGTATAAATTCTGGCTATGCAGCTTTGAATAACTTTTCCCAAATGATGGGAGTTTCTGGAAATAAAATACAGTGATTTCTCATCTAGAAATACATGAAATAACCACAAAAAGACACTCCCCCACTTTTTCTTCCCTAGTATAGAGCCTACGACTGAAGTCAAATGAAGAAAATATGGATACGATGTTTATTTCTAATCTGTGGAGCGTGATTTTAATAATTTCAATAGATTTCTCTATAACCCACCCATTTTTTCCCCTCTCTCATTAAACTAAGGAAATTTCCAAGTGACACACACGCTGTTCTATGAACAATGGACCTGATAAGGGTTGGAGCAAATTCCTCTTTCTGTCCCTATCTCTGAGTCTCCTTTACCTACTTTTGTGAAACTAGAATGAACGACATAGGGTAAGATAATCTAAATATCTCTGACATGTTTATGAAATAAACCCTTGTACAACAAATCATTTACAACACTCACAGACTAGGTCACAAACTGAACCATCCTCTTCATGTGCCCATAACTCTGGATCGAAGAATGGCACTGAGCTTGCCGTGTCAGCTGTGACAAGTGCTTCAAGGTCAGTCTCCTCCTGTTGTCGTGGCTGAGCTCAGACCGCGGTAGCACCGTTAGTCACCATCAGTGAAATATGCTACTTCTGTATATGTGGTTCGGAGGGTGCTTCTAGCTCTGGGTGGCTGAGGAACTGATGCAGTGTGGGGTCCAGACTTACTAGTTTCCAACCTTGATGAGACCACCTCAGAGGTGAGGGGCAGCTGCTGAGGCCAAAAGAGACTTCAGATAACCAAAGTCCTCCAGGGCTTGTGGGAAAAGAAGTCATGCTGATCGTAAGACAAAAGGCTGTGCTTGCTAAAGGTAGAGTGAGGATTCAGGACTCAATGTTTAGTAAACCAAGATGGAGGCATCCAAAGCAGGGTGAGCAAAAGCGTTTTCAGAAGCAAAGCCTCAAGTAGCAAGAAGGCTGCTGCTGCTCCATCTTCAAGAGCTGGCTGCCATAGACCCGCCGCAGGTCGTGGGAAGACTCCTACTTTAAGCACTGCCAATATGGAGGCCTAAGGGAGTTCAAAGCTTGCCTCGTGAGCTTCTCTGGTGGCCTGCTTGTAGCCCCGTGGGTCCTGGGCCACCCCCAGAGACCCAGTCCCTTCCAGCAGCCCCTCTGTTATGCCTTCCTTCCAGCTCCTGCTCTAACCAGCTGAGAGGCCAGCTCAGGGCAACATGGGTGTCAGGATGGCTTGTCCTGCTCCTGACTTAAGAGGGAGCTCTGTAAACGCCACTGGCCGTTGCAGAGCCTTTCTTGGCAAAAATCCTCGTGCTAGAAATGGCTTATCAAGGCCTATCACAGGATCTGTCTTGATGTTTTAAAACCTTTTGGGAAGCACTGTTACATGATGCTCTGCTTCAGGTAAAGGGTCACCCTGGAGAAATATAGTTCAAACTTACATTTGGTCTGTGTTTTAGAGTCCAGTCCCAAATGATATGTTTTCACTGGAATCTAGAAACCTGCTGTCCGGTTTCAGGCTCACATCCTATTGGATCACTCATTCTGTCTGAAGGCTGTTGCTTGTTTTATTTCCCACACCTGCTTTGATCTGCCCGGGTTGCCATTTGTTTCTGTCTTTGAATGTTTTCATTAATAATAAATTATTGAAAAGGCTTAAAGCATCTTAGTATGCTCAGTTCCTAAGATAATCTCATGACGCATAGTATGCCATTACAGCGTCAGTTTTTCCCCGTGGCTTTTGTCCCAGGGTTGTGGACTTTGCCAAGGTGTTCGTTCTCCCTCTAATGGTAGCAGAGGGGGCCACCCTGTGTCAGACAGAAACAAATATTTCCAGAGCAACATTCTTTGCAGGTGGGAATCACCTGCTTTATTCCTTTCCGGGCAGCAAAATATCGATGGCAGCACAGTGAGTCCATCAGGTGGGGTCCTCAACTTAGAACTTTTCAGAATTAAGATTTGATAGTATGAGTGAACTCGGGCTCTGAAGTTTTCACTGTATTTTTTTCGTTTATGTATAAATAGTCTTTTTGTGCCCAGAGTAGACTAGATGTGGATGATATAAATAAGATGTGGTCTCTGTCCTCAGAGAGCTCACAAGCCAGTAGGAGAGAAAGACAGGACACAGGATGGTAAGTTTTGGTTTTCTTTTCTTTTCTTTTTTTTTTTGACTGCGTTGGGTCTTCGTTGCTGCGCGCGGGCTTTCTCTAGTTGGGGCGAGCAGGGGCTACTCTTCATTGTGGTGCGCGGGCTTCTCACTGCGGTGGTTTCTCTTGTTGCGGAGCACAGGCTCTAGAGCGCAGGCTCAGTAGTTGTGGCGCACGCGCTTCGTTGCTCCGCGGCACGTGGGATCTTCCCGGACCAGGGCTCGAACCTGTGTCCCCTGCATTGGCAGGTGGATTCTTAACCGCTGCGCCACCAGGGAAACCCCTGGTAAGTGTTTTGATGAATTTGCATATGATCTCGTTGGGACTCCAAGGAGGAGGGATTTCAACTTGGGGAGGCAGTTCTGACACACTTCCCCGGGGGAGCTGAATCTTGAAATAAGCATTTGCCCAACAGGGTCGGGGTGGGGCGTTCCATAAAGAAGGGGCAAGGAATCAAAAGGAATGAATCTGGGGGGCCGAGAGAGGGGGACAACATCAAAGAAACTCGGTGAGGCCAGCAGGAGCAGATGATGGGGGACTTTTTGTCAGTAGTTGGGAGGCCCTGAAGTATTTGAAGCAAAAGAAGGACATGCACTGAACTGTACAGTTATATATGGTTAAAATAGTATGTTTTATATTACGTGACTTTTACCACAATAAAAAAAAATTTTTTTAAGTGACATGCTCTGATTTGTGGGCTTTTTTTTTTTTTTTTAAGAAAAATTTATGTGGCAGCAGAGTTATAGATGGGCTAGGGAGATGTGGAATGGAGACAGAGACCAGTTCAAAGGTGATTGTAATCTCCAGGAAGATGCTGGGGAGGACCTAGATCGGGCCAGAGCTGGAGGGGAGGCACCTAAGAGATTTTAAAAGGATCCACGTAGCCATGAGTCAGCAAGACTGAGGGCCGACTCTCAGACTTTGTGGATTAATTATGGTATAATTCATAGTGGTGGCAGATCGTCTTTTTTAATTTCAGCTTTACTGAGGGATAATTGATGTATAAAATTATAAGATATTTAAAGTGTACGTTGTGGAGATTTAGTACACGTATACATTGGGCAAGCGCTCCCCCCATCTAGGTAATGAACACACCCATCACCTCACATATTTATCTTTTTTTGCGCGTGAGAACATGATACAGTGCTGTCAACCATAGTCACCATGTTTTACGTTAGATCCTCAGACCTTATTCATCTTGTAGCTGAAGGTTTGGGCACTCGTACCAACCTCTCCCTATTTCCCTCCAACTCCCAGCTCCTGCAACTACTTTTCTACTCTCTGTTTCTGTGAGTTTTTTTTTTTTTTTTTAGAATCCACATATAGGTGATACAATGCAGAATTTGATTTTCTCTGTCTGGATTATTTCACTTAGCATGATGCCTCAAGTGTTTTTTTTCACTCAAAAATAAATTGTTATATTATTTCCATGTCAATCAATATGCAACTTGAAGTCATTTTAAATGCCTGCATCATACTTTGGGTACATATGTACCATAATTAACCTCATCAGTTTTTCCTTGGAGCCATTTAGTTTCACTGTTTTTTACTAAACAATACTGTCTTAAGTGTCAAGTTTGGAATTTGATTTTACCCTACTTACCAGCTCAGAAGTAAGCTTGTTGCTGTCTTGTGGATGCTGGCAGATGACGCAAGACTCCTGGATCAGGGACAAGGGACTTTTTTACCTACAGCACAACATACAGCAGGAGTATCAGCGTGGCATTGGTTCCACTGGCCCCCAAACCCCACAGCAGTGATTTCATGGACCCAGATGGATGCTGTGCTTGCGGTGGGTTGGCATTACAGCTGAGGAATATCGAGCTTAGGGAATCTACTTCTGCTGGGTAAGCAGTAAGCAAGCCCGCTCTTTGCCTCGGGAGGAGACATTACCTCATCCTTCAAGGTCACTTGTTTTAAGCGCAAGTCTGAGAAATGGCCTGGGTAAAGAGTGGTAAGGATTTTGCATTCTTGTCATACCCAGCAAGGCGTGCAGGAGCACGAGAGAACGGTGAACGACTGTCTCTGCAATCAGCATCCTTTCCTATACATTTAAAAATATCTTTAGGGGCTTCCCTGGTGGCGCAGTGGTTGAGAGTCCGCCTGCCGATACAGGGGACACGGGTTCGTGCCCCGGTCCGGGAAGATCCCACATGCCGCGGAGCAGCTGGGCCCGTGAGCCGTGGCCGCTGAGCCTGCGCGTCCGGAGCCTGGGCTCCGCAAACGGGAGAGGCCACAACAGTGAGAGGCCTGCGTACCGCCAAAAAAAAAAAAAAAAAAAAATCTTTAGGAGGGAATTCCCTGGTAGTCCAGTGGTTAGGACCTGGCATTTTCACTGCCGAGGGCCCGAGTTCAATTCCTGGTCAGGGAATTAAGATCCCTCAAGCTGCTCAGCACGACCCAAAAAAAAAAAAAAAAAAGATGGAAAAATATCTTTAGGGTAAATACAGAGGAATGGAATCACTCAACCAAAGAGTTTGCACTGCTGTAGACATTCTGTACTTGTTACCAGATGACCTTCTAGAAACTTCCTCTTGCAGGTTTGCTTTCTCAGTTGTGTTCTGTAAAATGACTGTTGCGTTTCCCATGTTGGCCCAGGAATGACTTCCTCTCATCTGAGCGCTCAGGCCCATGTTGGTGTTCTCCGCTTTTCCAGGGATATGTCTCATTGTATTAACAGGGGGGATATTTTAGCAGAGCCATTTCCTGATTGGTGTCAAGCTGAAAATAGATTGCTTGCCCCAGGTTGGTGGGAACAGAAATGCTAAGATCAGCAGCAGCGTCTCCTCCCCGCACCCTACCCTGCCTGTAGCAGGTCCAGTCTCTTCCTATTCAGGAGGCCCAGGGCTCTGTTTTCTCATTTGATCTAACACTGCAGACAGGTGGTATGTTGTATCTGTGCACTTGTAGGTGAATTTTAATGACATTTCAAGGCATCCTGAAAAGCAAAATAATTCTTTGGATTGCTTTTGTCAAATAATAAAAATATTTGACATAAATCTCACTGGGAACAGATGTGGAAGTACGCAATTCTTACTTTTTTACTATCCTTCCCTGGGGGCTCTTGGTCTGTGCCAATCTGAATTTTATTGCTGAAAGTGCTCGCTCTTTTCCGGGTGTGTCGTCTTTAATATATGGGAAAACTTCGGGCAAGGACCCTGGAGCAGTAGCTAACACTGCTAAAATCAAGACTGAACCATCAGAGAGTTACATCAGGACGGAAGGTTTGTCCTTGGATCAAAGCCTCCCCTGGGCGAGGACTCTGGTACATGCGTCCTGGTAGTGGCTGCAGTGGTCTGGGCCATATGGGAAACTCTGTTGTTATCACAGACTCTTCCCATGACTTTGGTATATTCACTTCTTTTTGGTTTCCTCTTCTGTCAAATGAGCATGCGAATCTCTGACCCTGGCCTCAATTAGAGAACCACCTTAGAAGCCCTGGCTTTTATTTATGTGTGTGAGACTCAAGTGTAGATCCTCAGGCACATTTTGTATTCCACGGGGTGCCCCTCTCCTTAATCCACCCCCTACACCCAGGCCCCCGGCCAGCAGTGACTCTTCATGGTTTGCCATGCGCGTCCTGGCACATCAGGACACATCATTTGAAATACCTGTTGGCCATATGTGGTATCTCCTTAACGTGGATAAGCTGGATGCTCTGCAGGGAAGAGACCCTGAGGGCTGTGCCCTCCAGGTGGTTTATTTGTGTCCGCCCACCAGGGAAGCACATCCTTTCCTATTGAAATGTTTGAAGGAAAAGTCCACAGTACCTAAAGAGCCACGTTTGAAGAAAATTGGCCCTAACTTTCTTCCTGATCTTGCGGTAATGTCCATAAAGAATGTTCTCCAGGCAGGAAGAATCAGTCATTGTTATGGACTGAATGTTTCTGTCCCCGCCCCTAGTACTCATACATTAGAGCCCTAACTCCCCATGTGACTGTATTTGGAGATAGAGCCTGAGAGGAAGTGAAAAAGGTTAAATGAGGTCACGGGGTAGGGCCCTAATCTGACAAGGTTGGTGCCTTTATAAGAAGAAGAAGAAGAAGAAGAGATAGAGATGGTGCTCTCTCTCTCCACCATGTAAGACCACAGCAAGAAGGCATCTGTCTGCAAATCAGAAAGAGAGTTCTCACCAGAACTTTAACCTGCCGGACCTTGATCTGGGGCTTCTAATGGTCAGAACTGTGAGAAAAGACGTTTCTGTTGTTGAAGCCACACAGGTTGTGGTATTTTGTTATGGCAGCCGGAGCAGCCCTGGCAAAGTCATGTAAACACTCCAGAAACAGCCACCATGACTGGGCAGGAGGGAATCCAGTCACCTTCCAAGACTGGCATTTCACCCTAACCGGTCTCAAACCAGTCCTCTCAAATCTTTTCTTGGGAAAGCACAAATGCTAGGTGAGCCAAAAAAAAAGGTGATGATGCGGGCTCGAAGTTTTTGTTCTTAGCCGTGCTGAGCTATTTTTCCATTTTTCTATGAAACATATGCAGATCCCAACTACCCAGATGCTCATCAGACTTTTTTAGGAAGTCATAGCTGGATCATCTGCCTTCAGGTCTAGACGTTAAAGTTTTCTGAAAGGGGATAAATCATATTTACCGTGAATCCGTGAACCTGGCATTACTGTTTGTGGTCAATAAACATTAGTTGCGAGATGAATAAATCCATGAATGAATTAATGAATGGGCAGTAAATGGAATTTAAATTGACTATAGTGTCTGGTCAATTTTCCAGATCATTCCACATTTCTTCTATATTCGCAATCACCTTTTTTACTCAAGGTTTTTTATACATTTCTTTTCAAATAGCCCAAAGAAGCCTGAGCAGGGTACCTTCATCGAGTTCCAATCTGTAAAGGAATGAAAATGTAGAAGCAGGCATCTCAGGGGCCATCCTTCCTAAATACACAGTGTGTTCCACTGGATCTCTACATATGGATGGCTTCCTTGGTCCCCGTGTCACAGGTGAGATATTCAGATCAGTTAAGTCAGCTTGCTATGTTTAAAAGGGATTGCAAGGTTCTGTTAGTTCTAAGCTCAAGAAGCTGCTGCTGCTTTTTGCAGATATCAGAATACCCAACTCACAAGGTAGTAAACTGATAGTTGTATTTTCCTTTCTGTATATGTTATAAGTCTACGGTAGGCTTTCCAGGGCTGATATCCTGATTCATTGATCTTTCAGCTGTGCAGCTTTCTTAAAAAGCTGTTTTCCAGATGGTTTCTGCCCCTCTAGGCATAACATCTGCTTCCCAGTCGGCCAGAAATGGGAAGGGCACATCTTTGCCTTTTTATTTTGGATCCCATAATCCAGCCCAGGGAGTGGTGCCTACATCTCCTTGGCCAGAACTCCACAGTATAGCTCCCCTTAGATGCAAGAACAAGAAGAATGCAAGGAAGGGCTTGGTTGAGAAGGTGTGTTAACTGAACCAACCTCCACTGTCCTCCACACAATCTCCAGGAAGAAGAGGAAGCTTTTGGAGAATCCCAGACGAGACTTGGAGACAGGGAGATAAGAGTGGCTTCTGAGATTCAGCAACAGGAGATTATGGGCATTCCCTTCTCAGCCTTAAATAAGTTCCATGGAAGCCCAAGTCTGTGCCACCTTGTTCCAACCTAAATAGCCAACCCAGGATGAGGTGTCCGTCCCGACGTGAACTAATCATGATTAGGGGGCCTGCTAGCTGAGGGTCAGAGTTGGACGGTTCATTCGTGGGGGCATGGGGTCACCCGATGAATTGATGGCTATTCTCAGAGAAGGAGGGTCACTTTGAGTCAGGGAGCCAGCCAGGGGGTCCACCTAACCTTGAGAGGGTGAATGGGAATGGCAAGCAGCTTCTTCCAAGATTGCTTCCTGAGGATACCGATGGCCCCCAGTATCCTCCTGAGGTGGTTTTAGGGACCTTGGAGAACAGAGCTCTGGTCTTAGCATCCACAAACAAGCTCACATCCCAGCTCTGGCCAGTGACTTTGGGCAGCTCATTCCTTAGACCTCCGTTATCTCCTGCATGAAGTAAGACTAGAAATACCCAAGGAAAGAAATGGAATAAGCACCCTCTGACAGGCCGAAAGCTTTGTGGACAGAGAAGGTGTTGTTATGATTTCCAGAACAGTGCCAAGTTGTGACTGCCTTTGCCAGCCATTGACATGTTTCATGTCACTGAATGTGATCTCACAAGAACACAGGCCATTAATATTTACAAAAAGAATCTTCTTTCCCACAACCCGTCTTCAGTTTTTCCAGGCCTTCTGTTACTTCTCACCAGCCATGTCCTCTTTCAGGAGTGGATGGGGAGAGATACATTTGTGTCTAGAGCGTGCGTCTGCTGGAACCAAGAGCTGTGTGTCATCATTTGTGGTGTATGTGAGTAGAGGAGGCAAAACCTGATCTTCCCCTGCTCACTGGAGCTCACACAGAACCCAAAGGGTTAAAGCAACGTTCCAAGGAGCTGCACAGAAAAGTCTCTAACAGGCTGTCCGGTGAGATAGTCACTTGACCACGCTACATTCAATGAGGTCATGGTCCCACATGCATCCCCTTCTCCTTCGGAGAAGGTGCATAAAATATAAATAAATGATCAGGTTACAGAATGAACTCTGAATGACCAATTTTGGCTCAAGTAAAGGCCTTCTCCTGCCTCACAGTTCCCCGACGATAAATCTTTCAGCAGCAGGTTGATCCTTTTCAGAAACAGACTGTCTAGCAATGTTTCCACCTCCTGCCCCCATCAGGATGGAGTGACTACGAGGCGGAGGCCTGGACGCACAGACAACCCACCGCAGACTCATGCCTGGAACAGCTTTCCTCTTTCAAGGGCCGACTGGTCGATACTCTGGCTGCTGCTGGGAGGGAGAGAAAAGGGAACAGGTTGCAGTGTCGCTAATAACAGCAAACGCAATAGACCATCTGCAGAAGGGAGCTGCTGATCTGTCTCCCAGAGAATGAAGCTCCGAGGTTGAAGGGGCCGGACCGAGCACTACTACTAGAAAGAATGGCAACGTCCTTGCAAATGTTTCCATCCCCTTAGTTTTCCCTTGGGGTAGATTATTTAAAGTCTGTCATGAGTCTTTGCAAATTCATAACTTGCATGTGCTCATTTTCCCTGGGTCCATCTGTGCCCATGGGAAAAGGAATATAAAGGAAGGAGGGATGCTTTGGTGACAAGATGCTTAGGGTTGATGTGGGGCGGGGGGTGGGGTGGGGGGAGGAGGACCCAAACTTATGAAGCTGCTACTCTGACCAGAAATGGAAACCACCCCTTCCAATCAGCATGTTGTTTTTGATAAAGAAATAAGACAAGGTTACTCTCCTTTGTCTTGTTTCTCTGGTTCCCTTGGTGTTTGCTTTTCTCTCCAAATTAGGTAGGGCCAGAG